GTTTGCAGACGTCAAACGCTTCTGTGTGCTATCTTCCATAAGTTGTTTCGGTACCCATCTTGCACAAACTTTTCAAAACTCACGTCTCTCATGGATGATTTCATAGGCAGAGCCAGGGCTGATTTACAAATGATCTGCCACTGTCACTTGTCTATTTGACAGAATCTTCACATGCATGCTCTAAGTCTTCATCAGTTGTGGACATGGACGGGCGTTTTAATATAACTGGAGTGTGAATAATTTTTGATTCATCCTCATATATATTATTGTTAATTGCCATTTACCTTATATAGGATTTCTGAGGAGTGGTGGGTAAGTTTGAACCACTGACCTTGCAGTTCAAACCAACCCTGTAGTCCAGTGCATTATTCTGCTGCACCACAACAGGACTCAACACACACACACACACACACACACACACACATATATATATATACACACACACACATATATATACACATACACAAACACAGGAGTCAGTCAAAAACTATCCACATTCCAGTTATATTAAAACGCCAGTCCATGTCCATGGCTGATGACAACACTGAGCGTGCATGTGAAATGGTTCTGTTGAATAGACAGGTGATGGTGGCAAACCAGCCATAGCTCTACCTACGAAATAATCCAAAACAGACATGGGTTTTAAAGTTTTTGTGTGCGATAGGTACCAGGACAGCTCACAGAAGAGCATACACAGAAGTGTTTGGACATCTGCAAATAAAATTTGGACTGACAATCAAAGCAAGGTAAAAGTTTCTTTGCTAACATCCTCAGTCACTGACCAAGAAAAAGTTCAAAAGTCAACCATCAGAAGAGAGGGCATATGCATAAGAACACCCACAATTGCAAATAATACCCACTTGACCTGGCTTCAATGGCTGGATGATTAGAGCTCAACTAGAAGAAGAAAGAACAGGGAAAAAGAGTAATCTGATACAATTTGATGAACTTGATCTACACCTATGGCTCCAATAGCTCAAAAAAGGGTATAAATCTTTACAGTGAGGCTCATTCCCACCCCCTCAATACAGAGAGTAGACAGGGATGGGCAACTTGGACATTGGCTACCCAAAATGGGGGTGGAGGGCTACAAAGGCAAGAAGTGACTGGCTTACAAGCTTTCAAGAGGGAACCTAGATCTAGAGGGCCTGGAGGAAGGTAGAATCTCCAGTGAGTAGCATTCAACCTGACTAGGCGGGGCTGATGCAATGAAATGCAGACGGGTCTCTTATGATACAATAGTGAATAATTGTCATCAGGACTGATTGTGAGGGTTGGAAATGTAAAGGTAGACATATTATAGAAAGGAGGGGACTGATTAACTTTTCAGTCTAGGAGCGGAGGTCCCTAGGACCATCAAGGGAGAAGAGCAGAGAGCGGGACCCTACCCAGAGAAGCAGTGATGCCTGAAATGGAGCCAGAGATGATGACATGGAGCGATGGAGCAGCTGGAGACTTTAGATCCAGAGAGGGAGAGCGACTGTGTGCTGAAGACCTGCGGGGAACAGGGAAGGATTGCATGGAGGGGATTGTAACCATGGCAATGAGACGATATACAATAGAATGAATGTAAAACTAATGTTCTCCCATGTAAACTATCACATAATCCACAATAAAACATTTAAGAAAAAAACAAAAAAAACCCACTAATGTTAATTTATTTTTGCGATCTACAAAGATTATTCTTTTTTTTCTGTCTTTTGTCTCAACTGTCTCTCCAGATCCTCCTCACATTACCTGCAGCACACAAAATGAGTCTAAATGCCATTATTTCTTGTCAAAAGAGGAAACAGAAAAGTAACTAAATTAATAAGAATTCAAAGTGAAGTCCAGATCTTGAGAAATGCAAGTCAGTATCTTCTTTTCACAAAATTGTACTTTCTCATCATGTCTGCTTCTACTCTTCCATCCAACCAGTCCCTTATACATCTCTTACCTCAAAGATTCCTGTCACTCCTTACTCATGTCCACCAACACTGAAATACTAAGTTCTATATCTACCTACCAACCTTCTTCCTCTCTGAAAACATCTTTACTTCTTATGCACAGTTACCATACTTGCCCTAAGCTGAACTTTGCACACTCATTTCTTTGGGGAGGCCATGGCTTGCCAGAGACATAAACCCTTTTTAAAAAACAACTAGATTAAAAAACAATTTTTGATAAAGGAAATAAGGGTAAATAGCTACAATTAGATTAACTTGACCTATACTTATTGATGTAGTAGCTCAAAATGCCAACTGAGAGGGAAGGAGTCTTCACATCATGTATTAATCCTATCCCCTCTGTATACAGGGTAGATAGGGACAGGTAACTTAGACATTAGCTACCTAAAATGAGGGGGCAATAAAGGCATGAAGTGACTGGCTTACAAGTTTTCAAGAGGGAGGTTAAAAGTGTGTGGGGAAGATAAGAGTCCCCACTTCAAACTCTATAATTTTCATCTTGTCTAGATGGGTACCATGTTTGGTAAGGTGGAGGGTCAGAGAAAAAGAGGCAGACCCCCAACGAGATGGACTGGCCAAGTGGCAGCATCGATGGAATCAAGCATGGCAACAGTAGTGAGGTTGGCCCAGGATCGGGCAGTGTTTCATTCTGCTGTGCATAAGGTCACACCGACTCAATGGCACCTAACAACAAGATGGGTATGGTGAAAAGAGATGGGGATAAGATTCTTATGATTCAATAGTAATTGTTATCATAATTAATTGCAACTGTCACAACTATAAAGGTAGAAGTTTTGTAACAAAAACGGGGGAGTAGTTAATCTTACATTCCAGAAACAGAGGATTCTAGGACCATGCGGGACCCCATCCAGAGAAGCAGCGACACCAGAGATAGAAGCAGAGATGAGGACATGGAGAAAGGGAAGAGCTGAGGACTCTAGACTCATGGAAAGAGAGGGACTGGGTGCTAGCGGCCAAGAGGCAGGCTTTCAGAATGTGCCCTTTCATTGTTTAAATTATTATATATTCCTGAGTGTTCCCCACCCTCATCCCCTCCCAAGAAAAGAAAAACAGGGAATGGAAGCAAATGCTGTTGAATAATAATGCACAGAAGAGATTGTAACCATTGCAGTGAATTAATGGTGTAAAGCCGATGTTCTCCCATGTAAATTATCACTCAATTCACACACAAAAAAGAACTGTTCTGCACAAGACAATATCAGTAACCATGTGGCAAAGTAAGTCAAAAGATTTGTAAATTGATGGGGGGGGGGCTAAGGCACAAAGTGGCTGGCTTAAAGGCTTTTATGAGTGTACTTTGTTTCAGAACAAGGAGGGTAAGGCAGAATCCCCACTGCATAGTTTTCCTCTTTTCAAGATGTCTGGTGAAAGGGGTTAGGGGAGGATGGGGATAAGATTTTATGATTCAATTGTGTGTAACTGTAGTCAGAACAAATTGTGACTGAAACAACTATAAAGGTAGACGACTTGTAACTAATAGGGGGAGTTGTTAATCTTTCATTCAGAAACAGAGGACCCTAGGACCATCAAGAGGGAAGAGCATGAGTGGAGAATGGGATCTTAACCAGAAAAGCATTGACAGTAGAGACAGTGGCAGAGTCCATGGCATAGAGAGAGAGAGCAGCTGAGGACTTTATCCCCATGGAATGAGAAAGGCTGTGTGCCTTTGGACAGGAGGCTGGCTTGTAAAGTGTGCCCTCTAGACATTTAAATGACTATGTATTTTCCGTTTTGTATGTGTACATCAAAAAAATAAAGAAAAAGGAATAGAGGTAAATACTGCTGATGGTACATGGAGCGGACTGCAATCATTGCAGTGAAACAAAATATATAACTTATTGAACGTAAAGCTGATAATCAGCCCCTTAAACGTCTACTCAATCCACACACAAAAAAAACTGAAAAAAAGATTAAAAACAAAAAACAATGTGTTGAAATGCACATGTTGCCTCCTATCAGTTATGGGACTTTAGCCATACTACTAAATCTTTCTAACCTTGTTTGCAAAGTAGGAATAATGCTAGTATATATACAGTTTATAACAAGGTTTTGTTGTTGTTATGTGCAGTGGAGTCGGTGCCGACTCATAGCAACTCTGCACAGGGTTTCTGAGACAACAGGTACTCAAAAGGTATGATGCCATAGGATAAGCAGTCTACCTCACGGTCGATTTGAACTGGAAAGGTCGGTGGTCCAAACTCAGTTCCTTGGAAACCCTATATGGGTCGGAACCGACTCAACGGCACACAACAACAATAATTGTTGTTTTGCGTGCTTGACATCCAAGTGTGCCGTTGAGTCGGTTCTGACCCATAGCGACCCTGTATAGGGTTTCCAAGGAACAACTGGTGAGCTTGAACCAACTTTGTGGTTCAAACCGACTTTGCAGCCCAGTGTATGAACCCACAGCGCCACACATCTAATCCAAAAATATTACTTTTCTTCTTCCCACTGTCCTTAAAACAACTTCCTAGTTCTTTCCAACAAGAATTGAGAACAAAGATTACGCTGTGCAGCCACAAGAGACGTCCCTTTAGTAAAATCTCACCACTCACTTAGAATAACACCTATTTAAAGCTATACAGACAACATTCCTCCTCTCCTTAACCCTAAATCTCTGAGAGAGAAATTACATTTTGTATCTTTCCCGAAAGATGAATTGTATTGTGTTAACAGAATAACTGTAAAGAGCAATTGGTGGGTGCCCAGGTGCATTTCAGAGTTCCCTTAGGTTTCATTGCTCTAGCAGCCATATAAATAAGTTTGCTACATTAATCATACAACTGAAAGATAAGGGCTGGGAGTCGGGGAGGGACTACTTTAAACGATATACCGTAATTCTCAAGGTGTGACTCAAGTAGGTGACATGCGATGACGTGAGCCAAGCAAGTAAAGCATGAATGTGTCTTCATCCCTACGGAGTATAAAAGTGTCATAGTGTGTCCGTAGGAGCATGTGTGCACCGCAGTGTCTGAGCGCCGTACGCAACCCTTTAAACTCCAAACCCTACGAGACAGTTTTCCAGGTACTTACCTCTGCGGAAGAGCAGGTGGAGGACACTGGGCGCAGCCATGTTGACGCCGGTCACGTGGTGATGAATTCTGCCTCTCCTCCCCGCCCCGCCCCGGCCTCAGGAACCGGCCAGTCGCAGCCCTGCGGAAAACCCGAGGCGCCTAGGCAGCCCGAGGGTAGAGCGCGTGCGCGCCGCAGGCTGACTGCAGGAGCCCCGGCGGGGGAGCGGCTCTGGCACCCCGGCCAACAGGGGAACCCGCCGCCGGCCAAGCCCGCTCCGGTAGCGAGAGGCGGGCTCCAGCCGCGACTCGCGTGCACGCTCCGAATCCTTGCGCCCAGGTGGAATGGAAGAAGCTTCTCAGGTAAGCGTGGTATGCATTACCATCAACATTTTGGTGCGTAGAAATGTGAAAGTTGGGAGGGAAAAAAAATAAAGCACGATTTAGCTACACATAGTACTTCGTATCGTCTGCTACTTTGTTGCAAATTATTTCCCTGGATTTGGTTGAAAGGTAAAATCTGGTCAAAGTCACCAGCTGCCCTTTGGCTGTCCCAGAATCTCCATTACTCAGCAAAGACTCCAGACAAGACAGGATCTGTGTGCCGCTGCATCATCTATTCTAGGTACCCAGTGGATATGTCCAGGGGACTTTTCTTTCTCCAAGGACACCTCTCGCTCGGTGGCATTGACTGGAGTCTGGTTCCTAAATTTGAGAGGATGACGCCTGTCAATTGCGCTGCCAAGAGATGAAACCTACCGGAGACCAATTGTGAGTAAAGTGAGGGAGCTGATGTATCCCTGATGATGACGGTGCCCGTATTTACCAATTTCTCTATTCTTGCCTGCATTCTGGGGTAGATTTCCATCCTTTTATGGGCCAGGTTATTCATTTTAGTAGCTTCGGGGACCAGCACAGGACGTGGCGCCTGAGACATTTGTGGTGAAGAAACTGAACTAACTCTCCATGGACCCAGTCAAACCAAGAATGTAGCAGTTTCCTGGACTTTCAATGCATCAGGGTCGCTATGACTCAGAATCAACTCCATGACAACAATCAGCAAAAATTGATAAGGAATCTCGTAATTGTGTGTGATGTCTCTTAATTTGAAGGATTTAATTTAACTAGACACTCAGTGAAAAATCCAGGCAAATCAGAAATGATTTAAAGAAAATGTGAAAGTCCCCTTCCTCACCATCTTTACACTTCACAGTCCCACTCCCCAGTTAACCACTGTGTGTGTGATTCCAGACCTTCACCTTTCACATTGAAATATGGGTAAATATATATATTTTTTCCACATTCATTATAAACATCATATCTTAGAACACTCAGCTTTAAGCTCATTCTTTTTTTTTTTTTTTTTTTAAGCTCATTCTTTTTAATGACCACGAAGTCTCTTAGGAAGAATGTGTTTTGCCAGTTCATTAGAGGGCACGTGCTGTACTTCTTGGAGACCCAGTTTTGGATGATTTGGGGCTAGCTTGAAAGATAAATCATGGTCTCCTTCAAGGTAAATAAGGTAATACAAGTCTGAGAAGGCAATGTAATCCTACTGGTTACCTGAAACCCCACCTTTTCCAAACTCAGATTAATTCCAGGGGGAGGACTTTTGAATGGCAGTAAATCAGTCTTTTTTTTAAAAAACTTGAGAATTGAGAAGGTTTTCAGAGCAAGTCAGTTTTCCATTGGACAATTCATACCCAGTTTGTTTCATGCCATTGATTGCAGTCCTTACAATGTATTATCACACACCCCAATTCCTCCCTCTGTTTCCTGTTTCCAGTCTTCCTTCTTTCCTAATCCTTCTGAACTCTGTCTTTGGGTAAACGCTGCCCATTTGATCTCAAATAGTTGATTATTCTAAAGTGTACGTACCTCCCTAATGTTGCTGTTCCCCTCATAGACCTGTGTATTGTTGGACAGAAAGTTGAGTCATAGGGGTGAGTTCATTTCTAGACCTACAGCAGGGTTGAGGGCCATCGTCTCAAGGGTTCTACCAGTCCCTATCCAACCAGTAAGCCTGGTTTACTTCTTTATTTGTTTTTATGACAAATCTGTTTTCTGTATCACAGAAACTAGCAACCTGAGTGCAGCAAAGAAGCCTGAAAGTTAGCTGGGGAGAGAGGGAAAGTATAGTGTGGGATTCCTAGCAAAATGTTAGAAGTCCACTTGTAAACACATCTGAAATAGATGTGATTCCACTCAGCAGTTCAGAAGGAAAATGAAGAGGAAACACTTTGAGGACTCAGGTGGCACCAGCAGAATGGAATCCAATGAGGAAGCCACCAGTAAGTTCAGTACAGAATGTGGATCTCTAGAATGAGCTGGAAAGGAAGCAGGTGTGAGCTTGTACAAATGATAGCTCATCAGCAAGCCTTGATTTGGCTTCTGTGCTCCCATAGCCTTCTGACGCTAGAAGGATCAAAAGCTGCCAACATTGGCCCTCCAACATCATCACTTTATGAGATATGTGCAAACTAACCAACAGATTAAAAGGCTAGTGCACTGGCATCGAAGATCCCGTGCAATTCTTGAGTTCTGTGTTCCTGGGCATTCAGAACATTAAAACGCTTTTATTTAGATTAGTAACCACTGCTGAGAGTCCTGGTGTGGTGCTGTAGGATAAGCACTGGACTGCTAACCACAAGGTCAGCAGTTCAAACTCATAAGCCATTCCTCAGAAATTCTATACAGGGTCACTATGAGTCAGAACTGACTGGACGGTACTTAACAACAACTACCACTACAGAGCCACTTCTTCTGTTCCATGTCTGCTTATCTTTCCTTCTACCTATAATATGAAAGTTAATTATGTTATGGCATTTCATTGATTTGAATCTCACCATTATTCACATTTTGTATTTGGGATTCTTGAATAAAATGTTGAATGTTTGTTTTCAAAACCAGGGTTCAAGAAATAAAGGATAACTTCTTGATGCCTTCAATTTCTGTTTCCAATCAATCACTCTTAAATATTAAACTTCTTTTGTTAATTGTGATATTATTTTACATGTCTTTCGCCTTGATTCTTAAAAGATATTTTCATTATCATTTTAAAGAATTTTTATCTTTGCTCCTATATAAAAGAAATACTTCAGAATTCCTATGTTCCTGTTTTTGAAGTCAGTTTTCCTTCCACCTTCTTCCACTTAATGGCATTTTAGTATAGACATAAATCAGATAAGTTTTCAAAAGTTGTAATTATTTAAGTTCTATAGTTTTCTAAAATGTGATATTGCATTTTAAATCAATATTCACATTTTTTTAAATGCCCTAAAGGTAGCTCTGGTAGCATAGTGGTTACGAATCGGGCTGCGAACCTTAAGGTCAGAGGTTCGAAACTACCAGCCGCTCCGCAGGAGAAAGATGAGGCTTTCTACTCCCGTAAAGATTTATACCCTCGGAAACCCTGTATAGGGTTGCTATGGGTCAGAACTGACTCGACGGCACTTAACAACAACGACAAGGAAATATGTGACATGAGGTAAAATCCCTTTATAAATAAATAGTGTTTTGTAATATATCGTTCTGTTATTTGTTTCACAAGTTTAGATTTTTATATATTATTAGGATAGCCTATAATGAAAAATAAAAACTAAGTTCCTTTAATATCTATAGAAGAAAATTGCTCTATATGAGCAGGTTGTAAAATTCACTGAAATCATGTGGTATTTACTACTGGACACACAGCATGTTCTATAGCCTGTCGAGTGAAGCTGGTGTCCTTAAACCCAAACAGCTTCAGGGGGCTGTGTGTGAGAGAGAGAGAAAGAGAAAGGGACAGTGATAGTATGCACAGCCAGACCGATTCGGATTGAACAATCTCTGCACGCAGTGTCCAGTGACATTGGCTGCATTCTTCAGTTTATGCCGACATTCTCATGGTTTCCATTCTAGTTGTTCCAGCCCCACTACTCTAGTCTCACTGCCCCCAAACTTCTCATCTGGGCTTTAGAGCAACTCTTGTCCACTTAACCTCAGATGGGTAAGTCTTAGAAGAGTATTGTTCTCAAGGGTGAAATTAAAATTTTTACTTTTTGAGCTAACCTGCTATTCAGTTAAAAGGTGATTTCAGGGCATAGTTTCTATTCATGGTTTAAGGAGTGCCTTAGGGCAGTAGTCTCAAGGATTCCTTCAGTCCCAGTGGGTCCAGTAAGTCCAGAAGGCTTGTCATCATGACTGAGGTGCCTTCATTCTCTCTTCCTGACCCCGCTTCTTGATTTTGCCATCTCAATCAGAAAAATTAGCCTTGTGATTTGATTTCAGGATCATTAGCATTTTAGTTGGTGATTTGAGGAGAATACTTTGTCCTGTCCTATAATTTACCTACTTTTAGAGTGAGGAAATGTTTTTATTTATTTACTTCCATTTTAAAAGTCAAATAAACATTCTTTCCACGAACTAGGAGTCTTACATAAGTGTAATTTGCACATACAACAAGGACCTGTCTCAGTAACTGATTGTTAGATTTAAGGTCCAGCTTCAAATGATTATATGTTTAGAAAGATAGTTTCTAGGATGCTTTCTTTGCCAACTTACTTTAAAATGTCATGTTTCCTATACCAATCATTTGAGACAATCACAGACATGTTACTGGATGATTTAGGGGTACTCATAGAGAAAATATGTAAATACCCCATGAGGAAAAGTAATGCCATATGTGAAGCAGTTGTGAAAAACTGGGTTTCTCTTTGCTCCCATGCCCTGTTTCCTTGACCTATAGCAGTGGTGATGCCAAGAGCAAGGGGGTGGGGGAAGAGAGTGGTTCCATTCACAGTAGGTCAGAAAGGCAAAATGTTTCCAAGATATCAGCTAATCAATAAATATGTAAGTATCAACTTTAGTTGTTTTAGCCTCTCCCATTTTTTATCTAATGACATTTTCTCAGTCATGTAATCCCTAAGAAAATGAGACTTTTAAGGCATACCCCACTCCAACCGTATTGTTCCACCTTAGCTCCTACACTGAGATTTGGAAGAGCTCTGTAGAATAAGCACTGGATTTCTATCCCCAAGGTCTGTGGTTCAAACTCCCCAGCTGCTCCTCAGGAGAAAGATGAGGCTTTCTGCTCCTGCAAAGATTTACAAGCCTTGGAAGCTCCAGTCAGAGTTGCTAGGAGTTGGAGCTGACTCAATGACACTTAACATGCCATGTAATAGTCATAACCCAATGGGATCCGCAAACAGCATGTTGAAACTTTCTGAGCAGGCTATTGGGGGGGTGGGGGGGAGGGGCGGAGACTAGAATGGAGCCAGGCAGTTAATTAAGTGCAGGGTAAAACCAAAACATGATTGTCCCAGGGAAGATGTTGGTCTCAGGCCCAAACTAGCTAGCCTCCATTTCAAGTTCAACTTCTTGGTTTAAGGGATTGTGGGAGATTTTAAACAATGGCAGTACTTCAGCATTCTAGTGTATCCATTTTAAAGCAATGGCTAACCTGGTAAGGTGGGAAGACTGTAGGAAAGAGCACCCCACTTGCTGGTACGTCAGAACTCGTGATCTTGCTTTGGTTAGAGTTGCTTTTGAAACCATGCAGGATTGAGGGACAAGACTATCCTGGCCTCATCTCTTGGCACTGGCTCTGAGGGAAGTTGGGTTAAAGCAGAAGTGTGCATTGTCCCATGAAATCTAAATATAATTTTGCACTACTAGAGGCTGCCATCTGGCCCCAGACTTGTAATTCCTGGAAAAGGAGCACCTGCTTCTACGCTTCTGGAGAGGGAAGAATTCCATTCACAGTACGTTAGAAAGACAAAATGTTTCCAAGAGAGTCTAGCTCTAGCAATCAATCAGCTAATCAATAGATATGTGTCACCTTTACTCTTCAAGAAGAGCTAATACTGTCTTTGTTCTTAAGAAATGAATTGGACAGCTGAGGCTTTCATGCTCATAAAAACTGTCTATAAAGATGGACTAAACTAACCCCCTGAGACC